AATTTAAACTCTGAATTTTTGACTGTGTGTCAATGCTGATCCTCCGTTTATTTCTATTAATTTTTTACACTTAGGCTTATTTTGGAAATATGGTAAAAAGTGACTTTTTGGCTTTTAACCAAGCTTTTGGCTTTTTTAGACAAATGATTTAGGAAGTTGGTAAAAAGTGACTTTTGACTTTTTTTATTAATGTTTGTTTATGATGTCAAATTATAATAAAATGACCTAACTATCCACATTTATTTAAAATATTTACAACTTCACCCATGTAACACATTTTGATCTAGGAGGGCAAAATTGTAATTTCATCGTTGGCTAAAAACCAACTTCCCAAATAAAAAAAAGATAAAAAAGTCAACTTTTGACTTTTACTACAAATCAAAAAAAGTGACTTTTGACGAACTTTCCAAAATAGTCCTTATTTTTAATATACGTGTCACTTTTTGATTCGTACATAATTATTATAATTATTTTATTCGAAAATTACTTTTTTTCCTATCAGCTCTCTCTCTCTTCCTCTCTTTCTCTGTGTGTGTATAGTTGGATCTACCATCGCTCCGTCCATGACTCTCGCTCTGTGTGGATCTGCCACTCCCACTCCGTCCATCTCTCTTTCTTTCTCTCTCTCTCTCTGGTTGGATCCGCCATATCTCTCTGTGTGTATGGTTGGATCTGTCATCTCTCTCTGTGGTTGGATCTACCATCGCCGTTATGACTCCATCGTTCTATAGCATTCTTGGCCATAGCAATGTTCTGGTGTTTCAAGGTGGTTCTTGTGAGTATGAGATTGTTCGGATTCATATATGGAGTGAAGATAAGGCTGTGATACTGAGAGAGAGAAGAAGCTACACCGAATCCCTTTGTCACCGCTGCCACATAGGTTGTTGTAGAAGAAATGAGAGATATGTTACCGTTGAATCTCTATCACCATTGAATCTGTCACCAAAGCTTGTGTTAACCACATAGATTTCAGATTTCTTGTACATGTGAGAAGTGATACAACTTACAAACACCACATTACAGTACATTCTTTCATTGCGGTGAACTTAGGGTTCGTTTGGGAAGTAGGTTGGTTTTTTGGCTTTTAATTTGTTTTTTTTTGACTATTTTAGTCTAAGGTTAAAAAAATTTGACTTGTGAAGAGCTTTTATTTTTTTGATTTTTTTTTTAAAAGAAAGAATGTAATGATTATGGATTAGATGTGATGTTTTATCTTATTAAATTAAAAAATTTATTTTATTTTTTTGTGACTAAAATAGCCCATGCTTTTCGCTTCCCAAACGAAGCCTACATGAAGGGAAAGTTGAGATGGCTCTTCTGGAAATTATGGCACAGCAATGTACCAAAGCCAATAACGAAAGCTTTCCTCTTGAAATTGTTGGAGGTGTTTGAATAACTATACCTTTCATTTTTCTTCCACTGAAAATTACTTACAAATCTCTGTTGAAGATCTCTGTCCGTTGAAGATTTTTCATAGATCCATTGAATCCATTGAATCTCTAACACCGATCTTCACCGATTGTCCATTGAATTAAATAAAGGTGATTTTGGAATAAAATAATTATAATAATTATGGATGAATCAAAAAGTATTAAAGTGTAAAAAATTAACAGAAAAAAGTATTAAAGTGTAAAAAATTAACAGAAACAGATAGAGGGTCAATATTGAGACACGGTTAAAAATTTAAAGTTTAAATTGTTAAAATTAAAATGTTGGGTTTAATTTGAAAAACACGCTAAATTTTAGGATTTTTTTTGTAATTTTTCTAAAAAAAATAAAATAAAAAGTTTTAATTTTTTAAAAAGTAAATTCAGAAAACTCAAACAAAAAAAAGTTGATTATTACTTTGGAAAATGTCAGATAAATTAAATAGGAATTAAAAATTTATTACAAATCAATTAAAAATTATTCTTTCGAGACATAGTCCTCACTTGCATCTTATTCATTTATAATTAATTTTTCACTTTGTGCAACAAAAATAAAAACAAAAAACTGTTTTTGGGAATGTCAACTAAATTTTTAAAGGACAATTTTATCCTTCATACTATGAGAAATTAGATTGTGTTCCTTTAGTTGTATTAAGGACTTCACTACGCTACAAGGACAATATGATAATTTCTTACCAAAAAGCAAAAGTTTGACTCCATAACCAAAATAATAATTTTAATTTTTTTTAACAATTATCAAGCACACAAACTTCTTTATATTCCAAAAAATTAAATAAAATAAAAAATATTTAAAAGGCAATTGCTAAATCTACCTAATTATAAATCTATATGATTGAATTAAGAACTCAAATATTTGTGATGGTGGTGGACCCAACAATGGATCTCATTTCAAAGTCTTCAGCAATTAGTTTTTCTCATCAATTGGTTATTAGTTTATTATTAGACCATATATAAGCTAAGCACTCATTCCAAAGACTTTATTTATTTATTTATTCTTTTATTCTGAAGCCTTTATTAATAGAAAAATATTATAGGTTATAAATTTTTTATCAAATAAATGATTAAATATCTTATATGAGAGTAGGTCTACAAAATTACAGATCCCACATTCATGTAAGACATTTAATTATTTATTTAATAAAAATTTAGTATTTTTAATGTCACCCTTATTAATAATTATTTTTTTTCACATTAGTATATGCATTTTACTAAGGTATATATAAGCTTTTACTAACACGTGAATCATGTGATTTTTAGTGGATATTATCTTTTTCTTTTCATGGATTGAAGAGTTTTGTCATTAGCATAGAACAAAGCATAAGCATAAAAGTGGAGGACATGTCTACAAATAGTATGGTCATTAAACACCCCAAAACAATAATTAAAGAGTGCTCATCTCTCCAATTTTTGGCTCTAAATTATACAATTTTCTTACCTTTTATTATTATTTTTTTAGTTTATTTTATAAATGGGTAGGGTGGGGCCAGTTGGAAAGATTAGTCAAATTTCTTATTCCAAGCTTTGTCAAAAAATTAAATGAGTTCAAAATCTCAATTCAATTTAATCATATGACTTAAAATATTTTTTCAAGTCTTAAAAATATAAGACTCGATTGATCAGGCCATTAGACTTTGACCACCCCAAATTAAAATGTCATTACTACATTATTTTAGTGAAAAGTCTTGTATAAAAGTTCTATACAAATAAAATCTTCTTATAATTTGTCATTGCGTATATCAAAATTGTTTCTATAGATTACTTTTGTTGGGTTGTCTAGAGACATGTTAGATCAAGTTAGATGATAAGCACAAGATGCCACCAACAAACTCCATATGCTATACCATTACGAAATTGTTGCTTCTATGTTTTTCACATTATAATAAGCCCGCCAATGCCAATTTGATCACTAATCTTATAGTTAATTTGAGCACTTGCAAGTTGCAATTAGAAACAAAGATTAATCAAGGCCACAAGCATAGTACAATGGAAACGATAGTTTAATAGTGCAAAACAAATTATCTTAGATTATTAGTAACTTAAAAAAATAAATATTAAAATTTGATTTAATTAAAAGGTCCTATTAACACGTGTCACAAAATTTTAAAATATTATACACTTTGCATTAAAGTGTGCATGGTAAATAACACATAAATTTTTCAAGCCTTATTAATATTGTCTTTAAGGTATATATTAACAAAATCTTTAATTGAATTAAAAGTAAATTTAAATATACAAATAATTTTTACAGAATTGTGAATTCAGAACCTTTTGTTTCGCATATATGTCCATAAAACAATCCCATTATTCAAACCAATAAATTTTTGCCACTACATTTTCCTACAATTTTGGGTTATCTATTAGGCCCCTACACTCCCATACCAGCCCAACTAGAAAACAAAAATTAGGAAATCATTTTGTGTCTACTTATTTAGAACCATTTGGGCCAATAAAAAATCTACCCAAAAAGAAATACTAAAAAATAAAAAAATAGAAAATTTTTACCAAATTCACATTTTGAAAATCTCATTTTTGTAGACTGTATTTTTATATACAATTTTATTGGAGAATCTCCACATTCTATTTTAAGAATAATTAAAATAAAATATAAAAAATACTCAGCTACTTTCAGATGTTGGATCAATATCATGATGTCAGAACTTTTTTTTCTTACATAATCATCTTCCCATCAAATAATCCAAAACCATGATATCACACAAGCCCAAAAATCCCCAGTCATACATTACCATTTACCCCAAATATATATATATATTTTCCTCTTTCTAATTTTTGAATTAATTCCACTTATTATATTTTTCTATCTCATTTATAAAATATCAATTTCATCTATTTGATCACGCACGTACAAATTTATGTGAATTAATAAGATATAATTGTACAAATTAGTTGCGAAAAAATCAGTTTAAACAATTTGACATAGGTTTAGTTGTATGATTAAATTATTAAAATTTTAAAATATTTTTTTTACCATTAAATTAGATATCAATAGTTAGTAATTTGTATAATTATCTCTAATTAAATTACAAGAATTGAAATAAAAAAATTATAATTAAATAAATAACATTAATAATTTAAAAATAAAACAAAAAATAATAATAGTTTAAGAAATTAAAATCAAATTAATTTTATTTTGTTTTTATTTTAATTTTTAATTTTTAATTTTTTGTGTTTTTTAACAACATGTGTTTAGAATGTCAATCACAATTCACAAAGGGTGGAGGCACGTCACTCTTGTGGGGCCACTCTCCGACAGTGATGATGATTCTTCTTAACCAAACTCGTAATTTCTCTGTATTTTGGGGTTAAAATTTAAATAAATAAAAATTGAGGGAATACAAAAAAAAAAAATTTACAGTGGCATTTCTGTAGATTCCAAGAAGATTAATCACTGGACTCACCTAATCATCTCTCTTAAACCTCTCTATTACCGAAAAGATTAACCTTTATTTTCACTTTTACCCCCAAATTTCTCTCTATTTCCATTTCTGCAAATACACCCACATCTATATATATATATATATATATTTAAGTGTAAATTTGTTTTCCTTTGTTTCTTGAGCCTCTCTTCAACCATCAATTTCTTCGATTTGGTGATCTGCTTTCTCAGACCCAAAAAACGAAAAGAAAAGAAAAAGGGGGGGTGTTGATCTTTGTTCTTGAGCTGATTGGGGTCACTGAAAAGTGACTAATGGCTGAAAATTTTCTACTGGGGATTCTTGAGAGAGAGAAAGAAAGGGGTGATTGATTGGGATCGTTTATGGAGATGGGTTTGTGAGATTGATGAGGATGATGATGAGTGATTGTTGAAGGGGTTGAGAATTTATCTGTATAGATAGGGATTTTTGGGGTGTTGGAGGGTTTTGCTTTGATTTGTGTGTGGATTTGATATGGGTGGGTGTTTTCCATGCTTTGGATCATCAAACAAGGATGGGAATGGTGTGAAGGAAGTGGGGAAGAAGGACTCTGTAAAAGAATCATCAGCTGCTCAGTCTCACCATGTGACCAGAGTTGGTTCAGGTAACACTTTTTTTTTTTTTTGAAAAAATGTTTTCTTGGAAATAATTACTAATGGGTATTTCTTAGGTTTTGTGTTTTTGATTGTTTCGATTGGTGGGTTTGTTGAATTTCGTGTTTCCTTGATTTGGTTCGAGTGTTTGGATGAAGTGTGGTTGTTAGAATTTTCTGTTAGTTTGATCTGATTCACCCATGGCTGTTTCTTTGATTTGGGTGTTCTCTGAATTGGGGTTTTCTTGATTTTTCTTTGTCACAGTTTGTTGATGTGTGATTACTCTGTGGAATTGTTTATGGCCCATTCTGTTTGATTATGCACTAGTGTAGTGTTGCTGGAATTGTTTTGGAGATCCGCTCTTGCTCTTAGATTTGGGATGTTCAGACATTTTGCTTTTGGGTAGTGAATTTTTGTACTGGTTTATTGATCGATAAATTGTACTTCAATTGATGCAGATAAGTGCTTTCCAAACGGCAATTTTGGATCTAATGTCGTTTCCATTAACTAGTTATATGGAATTGGAAGTTGGCATATAGCAAATGGTAAAATGTTGTTTGACAAATGCAAGTTTTGCACTAGATTACATGGACTAGGGTATGAGTACGGGTGCAGTTACGTGTCCAAGCGTCAAATTTTCCTTCACCTAAATTTTGGGATATTAGGATATGCATCCAAAAGTTAGATATGGGTACAGAGACATGCTTCAAACACGCGCGCGCGCGCGTGCGCGCACACACACACATATATATTTTGATGAATAAGCAAAGTTTATTGAAAAAGTATCAAGACGATACAAAGAATACAAAAACAAGCCTAACAACTAGCAGCAAACATAAACCAAAACAGCACTAAACAACAAGACAAAGAGCAAACAAAACAGCTACTAAATCAAGTCCTCTACAAAATCAACAAAAGTCAAAACATCCGCGTCCACCATCAACGATATCCAACTATGCAGCGCAATGAACAAACTCCACTCTGCTTCAAACACATATATATTGCATATTGTATCATTTTCTTAGCTAAGATATTGTCAAATTATTTAGAAATGTACTTCAAATTAAATAGGATTCAAGGAAAATAGGAATTTTGTCTCTCATTCGTGTGAAAAGCTAGAAATATGTGTTTACAGGCAAATGTAAGCATTTTCTTCTTCAAACATCATATAAATGTGGAGATTCAGGTGTATAAACTTGGTAGGGGTTTTAGACACATATCCGATGGATATGGATATGTGTGGGATATGTAACATAGGTTTTGCATAAGAATATTAAGGTCAAGTAACTCTTCATACAAGGACAATCCAAATGACTAGGTCTTATCCATCATGATTTCAAATTGTATACCTTACGCAATATTGAGTTATAGTTCAAAATTTATGTGTTCCACTTGGTGTATAGCAACTAGATAGTTGTATTTTTGAATTCCTTGTTTGCCTTCCAATTTACTGTATCTAATTCTCTTATTTTTTAGACAAATCAAAATCGCGTAGTAATTCTGATCCCAAGAAGGATCCTAAGAAAGAACCAGCAGTTCAAAAAGATGGACCAACAGCACATATCGCTGCACAGACGTTTACATTTCGTGAGCTCGCTGCTGCCACAAAGAACTTTAGGCCAGAGTGTCTTCTGGGTGAAGGTGGGTTTGGACGTGTTTACAAGGGGCGCTTAGAAAGCACAGGACAGGTCCGTTTTGATGTGTTAAACACAGATATCTGACTACTAAAAGCATTCATATTCAGTTGCTTGGTTTACAATATCTTAGAATTTAGATTTGAAGGATTAAAAGGACTAATTTTTTGTAGATTTTGCCTGTGAACCTTCCGTTTGTAAAATATATTTGCAATGTTAACCACATATGGTCTGCAATTTAATGACATTTGGTTGGTTGAGATAATTATCTTTGCAGGTAGTTGCCGTGAAACAGCTTGATCGCAATGGCCTTCAAGGAAATAGAGAGTTCTTGGTGGAGGTTCTCATGCTTAGCCTCTTGCACCATCAGAACCTTGTCAATTTGATTGGTTATTGTGCTGATGGGGACCAGCGGCTCCTTGTTTATGAGTTCATGCCATTGGGATCTTTGGAGGATCATTTACATGGTTAGATTGTTTTCCTTTAGGTAGCATTTATGAATCCATGGTATGATGAGATGCTCATTTATATTCATGCACTGAGTTGCTTGTGCTATTATTTGATTTAACATGAAACTGAAAAAGGCATACTTATCCGGACTTGTTCTAAACCACCCCCCCCCCCCCCCCAAAGACTAACTTATAGTTTGCATTATACTTAAGTGGTTCTTGAGTTTGCAATATTATTTATTAAGTGAAAACATGGATTGGTCAATGATTGATTGAATTACTATTGTGGGACAATATTCTACATATTAATGACATTTTTTTGTTACAAGCTATGTTGCATGGACTTGGGTATTTGATTCATCTAATTCTCATATCCAATGACACGAATGTGGCTAGATTTCGTATTTCTTAAATACTTCTTCTGTTTATTTTGTGGCTAAAATGGTGTTTACAAACTACCATAGGAATCTTACGCTTCCACATAGTTTTATAGTAAACTCAACCATTACACATTGTTGTTTGGTGCCTGTCAAACTAGATACGTTGGACGCACATCTCATACACTTATTCAACTATTGAGTAGGAAGGCCAAGATAAAGAAGTAGGATGATCATATTTTGGAATGAAAGATTCACAAAATGTTAATGAATCTTTCATTTGTGTTAACACTCAAAATATGTTTGAAAGAATAAATCTCTGTTTTATTGGGTGTCTTCTGTTACCTATAAATTCCATTGGACCCCAAATTATATGTTGGAAAGCTATTTTGGGTCTTCCAATTTCAATAAATGGATTATGGATAATTTTATTGGTTATTATGTATTGAAAATGAAAATTGACGACTGTTGATTGAAATTGTTTGGCCAGAATTTTAAAGTTCACTGGGAAACATTGGGAATGGTTAATTTAAGTCCTAGACCACGGAGGGCAAAAAGTTTATAAAGGCAATAGATGGAATTTATTGCAACAACAAAATTTCATCATTCAATTGAAGACATGTTTTTTGTTTTATCACAGTGGAAAAATGGGCCAGGTGTCTGATGATCTTCATTTGATTGGCATGGTAATAGCTGTGAGCAGCAGCAATAATGGTAGTTGCTAAATTTGGAAATTAGTGTGGCAGTGGCCACAGTACAGCATTGTCAATCATGTTGGTGAAGATATATTTTGGGATGGTTAGGGTAGTACTTGCCATACGTAGTAGTGGTAGAATGTGGCATGCTATTAATTGAATTTGGCATAGTGGTAGGTATAGCTGGACCTAGCTTTGTACGATTTAGTGTTAGTAGTGCCTAAAAAAGTGGTATGTTGATTTGGCATCGTGATGGCCGGCCTTAGTGGTAGTAGGACCTGTAGTTAACATGACATATTGTCACCAGTATTAGACTCCACGTTATAGTATTGAGACTTCATTTGAAAGTCGATTTATTTATGGTTTCCAGTATGAATGAAAATAACTTTCTTTATGCATCCATGGTTGGAGAAAGGGAGGCATTTTGGGGGGGATCTGTGTCTCTGCGTGTGTTTACCTTCCTTAAAGATATAGAAACAGACTATATGTGGCTCCTACTGTCTCTTTTGGGAATTGGGAGGAGATGATCCTTGACCTAGATGGCTGGAGCCTGGATCCCATCACAGCTGCTTACAAACGGTAGAGGTTCACAATGGCTGGCATGCTAATTACATCCATAATGGTCGAAAAAACCTCATAGAAGGCACTATGTTCATTGTTCCTTTGCTTGTTTTCTAGTGAAGCGAAGGAGCCCCATGTAGAACAATGGAAATTTTCACTACTTTTAACAAGCAGCCACATTTTGTACCTATGCGCTGAAAGCTTGCAAAGAAATTTGGGCGTGTGTGGTATCGTTTTCAATTTCTGTATTCTGTTCATTAATTTGGGAAGCATGTTTCCGGAAATTTTGTGACTCGTGCAATTAAATTTGCGATTCACCACGTTTCATTATGATTCACTGTTATTCAGTTATGTTTTTGTTTTAGTTTACATAATACAAGAAACGATGTTGCTTTTGCCTCTCTATCAAAATAATAAAAAAACAAAAACAAAAACAAAAAAAACAGATTAATTGGTTTCTCCAAAATATATGTTTCACTACTAGTTTCTTTTGGAAATGTAACTCTCTCCAAAATATCTGTATACAGGTCACAAGTTTTCTTCTAATGAGTGTGCTTTCGGTAAGCCTAACCGATTACTTCATTTGATACCCATTTTCAGATCTTCCACCAGACAAAGAGCCTCTGGACTGGAATACAAGGATGAAGATTGCAGCTGGTGCAGCAAAAGGTCTAGAATATTTGCATGACAAGGCTAACCCTCCTGTTATATACCGAGATTTAAAATCATCAAACATCCTTCTAGGTGAGGGCTATCTTCCTAAGTTATCGGATTTTGGGCTTGCAAAACTAGGTCCTGTTGGTGATAAGACGCACGTCTCAACCCGGGTTATGGGGACATATGGTTATTGTGCTCCTGAATATGCTATGACTGGTCAACTCACGCTCAAATCTGATGTCTATAGTTTTGGAGTCGTGTTTCTAGAGCTTATTACAGGGCGCAAGGCTATTGACAACACCCGGGCTGCAGGAGAGCAAAATCTCGTTGCATGGGTAAGTGATTCTCTTTATATTTTTATGGTATTGTTTTTGTCTTGATGCATTCTCCTTAGCAATTAACGCAAATTGATGCATGATGACTTGGTTGGTGGTTAAGAGTTATGTTACCTGGAATGTGGATCGTTCCAGTACGTGGAACAGGAACGGAAACATGGTAAAGTGTGGTACGATAGGGGTAGACTAGTATATATTACGCTTAAGAATTTAAGGTATTTCTAGAATAATTTTCTTTTAACTGTTAGGCATCCAATAAAATGTTTTTCTTTTTCTTTTCATTTTTAATGTTTTGTTTTGTTTTGTCAAAACTTGATTCATTTTAGATTTTAGTTCATTATATTTAATTTTTTTTTCTCCTAAAGTAACATTTAAGCAAATATATTGGGAAAAAATTTTGGGAGCATTTTGGATCACTAAATTTACTGTTTTGGAACGGAAGTGTACCATATTTCGAAATGTATGTACCCATACGTAATTTGCAAGGGTATTAGCGTTTTTGGTAACACAGGTTAAAAGGGTACACAACACAACATTCATCAAACACTTCCCAACACAAAATTAAATATACGTTCAAACATTTCCTATTATTTAAAAAAAAAAAATTCTAGACTTGGACAGATTTTAAGACATTTAAAGAACACGAGTCTATCTCTTAGACACACATGAAACACAATACAAGTGTGAATAAAATTACTTCGAATCCAATGATAAAAGAAAAATAAGGTAAATTTATACTTTTTTTAATAAATAATCAAATTTTATTAAAAAAATATTAAAGCGATGCAAAGAATACAAAGAAAACAAAGCAACCCACAACGGGCCGGAGCACAATTAACTAATCAAATCCTTCACAAAATCTACACAAGTCAAAATATCCCGATTAGCTGAACCCATAACCCAACTATGCAACACCAAAAGGAGCCTACTTTCTAACCAAATAAATGAATGACACACATCTTGAAAAACTCGCATATTACGCTCCAATCAAACCAACCAAAACAAACAATGGAAAGCAAGTAACCAAGCCTTCCGATGTCTTTTCCCCACCCTAGCCCCACCCCCCGCTTTGTAACACACCCAACATAGACCCCAACATAAATTTATACCCATTCTACTCCTTTAGACTTTAAAAATTATATATCTTTAAATTAGATATTCATATGCATGACAATGGCATGTAGTAATTTTAATTTTTATTTATGTCATATAATAAATATGTAAAACTATATACTTGTGCATGTCTTATATTTTTTTAGAATTTCCTTATCGGTGTGTCCATATCATGTCAAGTGTCTATGCTCTTTAGTTGATGTTATAGTGTGCTATAGAACTAACACAAAAAAGTAGGTTTTTTTTTTTTTTCTCTCCAATTTCTGATTTTTCATTCTTGTGGGACATGGACTTGTAGGCAAGACCACTTTTCAAGGATCGCCGGAAGTTTCCCAAAATGGCTGATCCACTTTTACAAGGTTGCTATCCAATGCGAGGACTTTACCAAGCACTTGCCGTTGCAGCCATGTGTTTGCAAGAACAAGCTGCTACAAGGCCTCTGATAGGTGATGTTGTGACTGCTTTAACATATTTAGCCTCCCAAACCTACGATCCAAGTGCACCCACGGGTCATAGTAATAGAGTTGGTCCATCTACTCCTAGAAGCAGGGATGACAGAAGGAGCATGGCCAATGGGCTGGATAGTCCAGACGAGTCTCGACGAGGAGGACGCTACGGCTCGCCATCCAACCATAAGAATTCTCCTGATTTCAGAAAGAGAGACTCTGCAAGGGAATTGAATGCCGGTGCAGAGTTAGGTGGGAGTGAAACTGGTGGTGGATCTGGGAGGAAATGGGGCATGGATGAAGTGGAACGTCAGGACTCTCAGAGAGACAGCCCCATTAGCGCAGGGAGAGCAAGAGAGACTCCAAGGAACCGAGATCTAGATAGGGAACGGGCGGTTGCCGAGGCGAAAGTGTGGGGTGAGAATTGGAGAGAAAAAAAAACGAGCAAACGCAATGGGTAGCTTTGATGGTACAAACGAGTAATTTGAGCAAGAAAGCCTGAGGGGCATGTCGCTTTGGATGATTTGGATGGTCATCAGGAAGAAGAAAAAGGGAGGAGAATACAGAGAAATGTCATAACTTTTACTGTTGTGGTGTCAGTATTTGCCCCGGTAATAATGTTTATATCCGATTTCAACTGTTGTTGGTTGTCCTAATTATCATTCACAGTTCAAAGAAGTCAGTCTCGTGGGGTTAGTGCTGTGATTTTGGGCATTTTACAGGTAGACCCCGCTATGGAATGATATATGTGACGTGTTAAATTATGTATTTAGGTTTTTTTTATTGGAAAGTTGGATGATACAGAAGAGAAGATTGGAAGATGTTTCATTTTGCTATGACCCCCACCCCCATTATATTGTGTATTGTATCATTGTATGTGTATGATTGTGGGGAAATTTAGTGAGTTTGGTTTGGGAGTCCCATTATTCTTATGGCTTTGTACTTGGATGTAGTCATGTGTATGGATTCTGAGTTTGTCATGTTTTCGGCTTAATACAAAGAGGGTTCATCATTCTCCATCAAAGGACCCCTCTCTCTCTCTCTCTCTTCTTTGCTTGTGATAAGTAGTGAGTTTAAAGGGTGTTCATTTAGTAGTCTAGTTTAATTCATTAAAATGAGATGGAATGAAGTAATAATTCTTTAAACAACTAAAATAAATAAAGAGATAAAGAACATTTTTCTTCAATTTATGTTGGTACCTAACCATGTTTCGATTGGGTGTCTCTCTATTTACAAATCGTATTTTGTCTCAAGGAATACATTTAATTATTTTGACAAATAAATATTTTGCTCAATACACACTACAATCTTCTATCTTTAGTCTTTTTCACACACAATACTCACAATCTACCCACAATCTTTCATCTTTACCTTCACTCCGGTGAGGAATCAGATGGAGAGGAGGAAAGCGACGTCAGTGAGGAATCAGACGAAGAATTCGAAGCCTATGATCAGCATCGGTGGCCTAGGAGATCACGGGAAGTGAATTTTCTAATAAGAAGTTTGGATTGTACTATTGAGAAGAAAAAATTAGGTGGATCTGAGAGTGTAGTTAGGGCATTGCAACAATCCATGATTATCGAGAGCACCAAAACTTTATTTAATGGCAGTACAAAATCGAACTAAGTGCAGTTGTTTGATTGTTTTTAACCGAACAAATAGTGTTTGTTCGATACTTAAAAATTGAATATTTGGAGAAAGCTCAACACTATAAAACTGAACATGTACAATTTGTTCAGTTGTAGGTAGTTGAACATTAATTTATTATTCAACTCTGGATAACCGAACTAATACAAACGGTTTACCACTAGCATGTAAACCAAAATGAAAAAATAAATAAAAAATAACATTTTTATTGCTCCATTGTTCCGAATGAGTACTGTCAGATGTATCCATCGTTGAATCCAATTAAAATTTTTAATAATACATATATTTTTGGTTATTTCTTTAAGGGTTTTTGGTTTTTGTTTTATGATGTTTGGATTCTTGAAAGACAAAATATGTAAGTAACACGTTTGAAATTGTTGATGTATATTATATTTATTATTGTCCTTTATGGTAATTATACAAATGGTATATCATAGCTTGTCCTTTGTAGTCATTTTACCTAAGGTTAAAATTGTAATAAAAAATAAACTAATTGTTGGTGATAATTACAAATAAAATACTGAAAAATACAAATAATAAAAAATACAATAACTATTGTAAAGGTTGAGGCGCGAAAAATTCGCTCTCTTTAAGGAGATTGAAGCCCTCTGCGGTTAGGTAAAGCCTCATACCAGTGCAGCAGAAAAAAAAACCATGACTTGTCCCCCCAGGATGCAACAGCCTGACTAAGTCGTATGGTTCACCAACACTGCACAATTGGTTGAACCCAAAGTTTTATCACATACACCCTTTTTTATTTGCCTGATAATCTCATACAAAACATAATAAAGCAACAAAAACTTCTTCACTCCACCAAAATAAGAAGATAGCTCAATATATATAGGAGAAAAAGCTTGGAGGGTTTTTCTTGGTGGATAAGAAAATGAAAGGAAATAGTGGGCAATTTCCTTGGAAGACTTGGAGACTTGACTTGACTTGGCAAAGACTTGACTAGGCAAAGAAAATGAAAACTTAGAGGGAAAGAAAAGAAAATCAAGCCTATAACATATTATAATATTAAAATACCTGCTAACATTCCCCCACCTATTTTAATATTATAGGTAACAAAAACTGAAATTATTAGGCAAATAAGGATATTATGCATTATGGTAGGTGTGCTCTGCATTGAACCTCCATTAGTGAAACAATAATATCTACTCCAGAGCCAATAGTATGCTCAGCATTGAACTATGACTGCTTAAAGGAAATAAATAATTATTGCACACACATAATATTCTAGGTGTTCATATAAGCTTTAAAAGCTAGCACATTGCGGCCTTGTGCGATCCCAGGATTCATGAGTGTGTTTGAGAATTAGCCCAAATCTCATAGGTATGACACCCCACTTAATAAGAGCTACATAAATTTATTAAGAGTTTTTTAATAACTCAACCTCTACAACGTTACAGGAAAAATGCACTTACATCATAGGGATGGATAAAAATTAATTTAGTGCATTTCTTACGGCCATCATATGATCGGTTTTTTCATTGAACCCAGTTACAAGATCTCTGGTCCCTGGGTTTAGTGTCCTTATACATGGCCCCTGCTATATTCAATGGGCTTCAACCCCATCCCCCTCGATGTATTCCAGACTCTATCTCTTGCTAAGGCCTTAGTTAATGGATCTGCAAGATTATCACCAGATTTAATAGAATCCATATTTATGATGCCATTATTCATATAAGATCTCACAATACTGTGTTTTTTTCTGATAGGTCTGGATTTGCCGTTATGATAACGGTTATTAACTCAACCAATTGCTGTGGTGCTATCACAATGAATCAATATAGGTGGAATCGATTTTTCCCAACAAGAGACTTCATTTAACAAATCTCTCAACCAATTTGCTTCTTCACTAGCTGTAGCTAAAGCAATAAGCTCAGCCTTCATTGTTGAATTGGCAATAGCGGTTTGTTTTTTCGATTTCCAACTTATAGCACCACCTCCCAATGTAAATAAGTAACCAGTGGTTGATAGTGAATCACCTGACAATGTATTCCAGTCGGCATCACTGTAACCTTCAAGTACTACAGGATACTTGTTATAAAACAAGCCATATTTTATAGTACCAGATAAATATTTCATAATCCGCTCAATGGCTAGCCAGTGATCACTGCCAGGCTTGCTAGTAAACCTGTTAAGTACTCCAACTGCATAGGCAATGTCAGATCTAGTACAGTCAGTCGCATAACGCAAGCTACCAATCATACTAGCATATTCCTTTTGATTAATTACATCCTTATCATTTTCAATAGGAAATAAACGTACATGAGGATCAAAAGGAGTAAGAACATGCTTGCACTTATAAAAATTATATTTTCTCAAAATTTTCTCAACATAATACGACTAATCAAGAAATATACCATCACAGCTTTGGTAATTCTCATTCCCAAAATATAATTAGCCTCACCAAGATCTTTCATATCAAAATGGCTACTAAGCATATTTTTAGTTTCCACGATGATATGCAAATTAGAGCCAAATATAAGTAAATCATCCACATAGAGGCTAATAATGACATGTGAATTCTTTTCAGATTTATAGTAGATGCATTTATCATATTCATTCATTTTATAGCCATTCTCAATTATGCAGGAATCAAATTTCTCATGCCACTGTTTAGGAGCCTGTTTTAAGCCATATAGGGATTTAACTAACTTGCACACTTTGCTTTCTTAACCAGGTTCCACAAAACCCTCAGGTTGATCCATATAGATTTCTTCACCCAGGTCTTCATTTAAAAAGGTTGTTTTAATATCCATTTGATGAATTTTTAGATCATGAATTGCAGCCACTGCAATTAATAATCTAATGGATGAAACTCTAGTAACTGGAAAAAATGTATCAAAAAAGTCAATATCTGTTTTATATTTATCAATAATTCCATCCGGTTTAAGTTTTTTCCTCAAAACCCATTTACAGCTAATAGTTTTACAACCTGGTGGTAAATCTACTAATACCCAAGTTTTATTAGATAATAATGATTTCAACTTATCATTTACAGCCTCGTTCCAAAAAACAGAGTCAGGAGATGCCAAAACTTCTTGTAAAGTTAATGGAGTTTCCTCCACATTAAAAACATCATAATCAGGGCCAAAATCCTTTTCTAATCTGGCTCGTTTACTCCTTTTAGGTTCAAAAACTACAGTATCTTGGTTTTGTAAAAGAGAAGTAGAGGAACCGGTTTCAAATAAAATATTTTCTTGATAATTTTGACCTCCACCATTTTTAGATTTAAAAGGAAATTTTTCTTCATGAAAAATTGCATCACCTGATTTAAAAATTATTTTGTTTTCAATATCAAAAAATATATAGACTGTACTATTTGTTGCATATCCAAGACAAGCACAAGTGGCAGCTTTCACACCTAATTTAGGTCTTTTAGGGTCCACAAGTCTAACAAAAACTAGATAACCCCAAACCCTCAAATATCTCAAATTTGGCTTATGCCCTTTCCACAACTCAAAAGGTGTAACTTTTGTTTTTTTATGTGGCACTCTATTTATAACATAACATGCTGTTAAAATTGCTTCTCCCAACAAATTTGGAGGAGCACCTGCTTCAATTAGCATAGCATTTGTTAAATTAGTTAAAGTTCTACTTTTCCTTTCTGCTACACCATTAGATGCAGGTGAATATGGTGGAGTAGTTTCATGGATTATTCCCAAAGACTGAGCAAACGAGTTGAATTCAAAAGATTCATACTCCTGGCCTCTATCACTTCTATATCTTTTAATCTTTTTACTGAATTGATTTTCAATTTCAAGAAGGAATTCTTTAAATTTTTCAAAAGTATCAATTTTATTTTTCAACAAGTATACATAAGTGTATTTTGAAAAATCATCAATAAAAGTGATAAAATATCTATTTCCACCACGTGTTAAAATTCCTTCAAATTCACATAAATCAGTGTGAATTAATTCTAACAATTTAGTATTTCTCACCATACTTTTATGAGGCCTTTTAGTTATCTTTGCTAGACTACAAACTTCACATTTCTCAAACTTATTTGTTAGTCTGGGAATTAATCCTAAACTACTCATGACTCCCACATATCAGCTATTAATATGACACAGACGAGCATGCCAAAAATTCATTGAAGACATCAAGTAGACAGAAACATGTGCTTTCTTATTCTCAACATTTAATTTAAACATTCCATCACAGGCATATCCTTTCCCCCACAAATATGCCTTTTTTAGTGATTACATATTGGTCAGATTCAATAGTCTGCTTGAAACCAGTTTTGTTGAGCAAATAACTCGACATCAGATTTTTCCTTATGGACGGTGTGTACAACACATCTATTAAAACAAGTACACGTCCAAAGGTAAAATTCAGCTCAACATCCCCACACCCGAGCACTTTGGTTAG